AAAAAAAAAACTGAATGAAACTGTATTGTTTACTTGCTGTCTTTGTGAGAAAAACTTGCAAGTGCTTACTTGACAGATGCTGTACAGTTATAAAGTTGTCCATTTGTTTTGATTTTAGTCAACAGGGGACAGGCTAGAAGTTCAGCAGGCACTTGATCATGCTGAAGTAGATAATGAATCATACAGAACAACCTGACAATTCTGTGCAGCTAGAATGCTTAGCTTAAAGCATTTTCTATTGTTTTCAGTTCTCTTGGAGCAAGCAGTGCTGTAAAGCAGCTATGATTCTTTTTTCACACCTTTTTTCTATCTCTAGTGCTCTCATATCACTAGTGATAAGTGCCCAGTACTTAAGTCCCTTGTGACAGGAAAGGGGACTCTGGAGTTGGATTTATTCTAAGGGTTTGAGTTTCTGAGTGAGGAGCCTTCCTGGAGAAAATGTTTGCTGCTGCTTGGAATTGGCTCTGTGGGGAGAGAGAATAGGAGAATGTTCTCTTAGCAAATTTTCATCTTAAGCAAAATATTTTTAGAAGCGCTGTGTTTAGGAAGCCACGTTTGCCTCTTCCTTAGGTGTGTTACAATGATCACTCCTGCCTCTTAAAATGTACTGTCTTCTGCTGGAGTCTTCTAGTTGAAAATTTCAGAATCTTTGCAGTTTACAAGGTTTTCTAGAGCATGGTCATATCCCCTTTAGAAAGCCTTAACTGAAGCACTGAACAATTAAGAAGCCTGTTCATTGTCAGCCTTTAGCATAACAGACATATCTACATATAGCCAAGACATCCAGACTTGCAGTTTTTGACTCCTACCTAGGTTGCACCAACAGCATTCTGGTCTATATCAGATAGTCAAGCTGTATATAGATTCTATATTAATGGTATCATACTTTCGTGGAAACTACTGTATGAAACACTGATAATTAGATAAATGAAGAACATGCTGTTATGATTTATGTTTACTTCTATGTCTAACACTGCATAGCTCCCCAGAGCAAGTATATACTTGTGTAATGTTGAGCTTGTTTTCCTTACATCTATGTAAGGAAATTAATCAGTTTGATGTAAGACAAGCAAATAAATAGACTTGCAAGTAAAAGAAGTAGAGAAAAAATCTCTCCTGGGTGGTTCTTTTTGGCTCCCTTAACATTTTGGTGCTAAAGAAAATTCAGATAGCTCAAATACTCTGTCACAGAGCATGCATTCAGAAATCATCAGCATTGTTTCTTATGTTGAAAGTAATAAACTTCCTACTACTGTTTTTTTTCTCCTTGAAAAGTCCAACTTAAGAAAAAATCACAGTCAGTGTGTGCCGTATTTGTTAAATGTCACTCTAAAATAGGTTAATGTTTTGAATGCACTTCAGGCATTAGAGTTGACAAGTAGCTTTGGCTTTCATCTGTCTTTCCCCATTGCACACCTTCATTTGCTGATAAATTCATAATTACCCAGCAAAAGCTACCAGGGCAACAACAGAGTATGGTGACCAGGAAATGACATAAAGCAAGATGACGATCAGTGCAATCTTAGCCAACTTCCATTCATTCTTCATCCTATGATACTGTTTCTGGAGATCTTTGTTTCCATGTTTGCATCCAAATGTCTGTATAGACCTAGGGGAAGTAAATGTGTAACAGCAAAATTGAGATCAGTCATTGCAACAGTAACTCTTATTATAGTTTATGTGATAAGTCATATATTCTTAATGTGTGTCAATATGTGACTGTTCCCTTGCTATTTGGTGTACTTCAGCTGCACTAGTCAAGGGCAAAATGTAGGGGAAAAAAAAATAATCCCATGCTAGAAGAGTTTTCACATAAATCAGCTACTCCAGTTAATTGGACAAATACAAAATACAGCTAGAGAAGTCTTAGCTTCCCTATATCAGATTGTTGTACTTTACTGTCGGTCTGCATTTTCTACTGTGCTGATATTTACAAGACATATCTAAAAATAGTGGCAGACGCTGGCCTGTATGATAGTTTCTGTCTCAGAGACGTGTGATTAATTTTATCTCCTTTTTACTCACTGTAAAGCAGTGTTTGCAGTTGATTTCATTTTTTTTCCATGGAATAGCTTCTATGCACTGTTACTGGACATCTCTGATGTCTGTTTAGTATTGCTTTTCACAATTGGTTAATTTCTATTGCTCTTTCACATCCTTCTGATTTCTCAGGTTGCTACTTGTACGATTTTCTGTATCATTAACAAGTATACTGAACAGCTCTGCTGTAAATTCAGAGCCCTGAATGGCCCTTCTAAGGATCATAATTTTTACCACATTGACAGAATTCTTACTTGGTTTCCTGTCATGGTTATACACTTGAACTGAAAGAGAAAAACTTTCCAATTTTCTTCTGATAGTCTGTTTTAAGAAAGAAAAAAAAAAAAAAAAAGCAGTCATCTAAACAAAGAAATAAAAACTTAAGACTTCTAGTTACTTACTTGTTGGCCTTCTTGATAGCCTCAAATATAAAAACATAGCTGTATATGATAGCAATCAAAGGAATGAAGAAGACAAAGCAGAAAAGCAGCATTGTGTAGGCACGGACTGATGGTGTGAAAGTCATGTAATCCCAGGAACAGGAAGTCAGCAGGCCTTCAGGAACATAGGCGCCTAGAGACAGGAGAAGATGTAAACCACAATGGGATTCTTACCAGTATTCTGAATGCAGGAGTTAGGGAAAGATACTCAGAGTAACATGAGATGAGATCTGGAAACTGAATCATTTTGTTCCAATTCTTGAATATAACTTCAAGCTCAACATAGTCAAAGTGCATCTCTCCAAGTACTTCAGTGGCTGTTTCATCAGACCCACGCTGTTTTCATTTAAGTCCAGATTTTCTCAAATTGTTTTCTTTCCAAGGAGTGAAATGAAACTGATTGCTTTAAATGCCCCTTTTAAAACTTCTACATATTAATTTATTCTGCAAAGGGGAGAGCTGTGTTGTATAGGTCAAAATAATTTTGTCACAAAAGGAAGTTGAGTACGTATAGAAATAAAATATAATTTCCTTAGAGAAACTGTGTCAAACAAGTGGAGACGTTCTCAACAGCATTGTATTTCTCCTCTTATTTTCACTGTTTACAGTGATATTTTCTGTTGAACTTTTAAAAATAGCGCACCAAGTGTGCTCAGATGCATCCAATTTTTGTGTGAGGGTTAGTAGTGTGGATCCTATTGGAACCTAATTATAAGATAATGATTTAACACCTTTCAAGTTAGTATCCTGCCTTCTCCCGTGGAAATTCTGGAATCTAAGACTGTATTGCCTCTTAATTCTTCTAACTCTGCCTCATTCAACTTAAGGCTGCTTCTGCAAGCATTGGGGTTTGGCTAGTTAAACATGCCTCATATTGAAGGCAGTCATGATAGGCAGTAGCAAGTCAAAAACAAACATCTTCTAAAATTCAACTTTGTAACCTTTTTTTTTTTTTTTCAGCATTCTTTGGGGAAAACAAAACATTGCTAAACTCTCTCCTCAGTTGAGCTGACACATTCTGTTCTGGAATTAGGGAACACAATAATGGGCTGGAGTTTTTGAATGATGAGTTCATTCTAACTTACTGACTGAAACCGGTGACTCACAGGAAACAAATTAATGTTGCTGAGATGGATGCAAATGAGGAATAATAACAGGAACTCTCTTTGCTACAAGTGGCAATGATCAAGTGCGTGTTCCAATTTGCAAACAAAAAATTGACAAAAGCAAATTGTATTGTAGTTACTAAATGCCACTCCTAGCAGAATCCTCAGTGAAGATACTAAAGTCTGAATGGGCAATGCAGCCAATATCCAGTGCCATTTGCACATCTAGAATATAGTCAAGACCTATTGAAGATGTACTTCAATAAAATATTCAGACTGTATTCCTCTATTATATGAATGAAGTTAATTAAATTGCCACCGCTCTTACACAGCACCGTTGGGGAAGAAAAATGTCATGAGAAAAAATACAAATATAATAATTTCACTTTTAACATCGTTCAGTTTGGCTCAACAGAAGTAGATATGGGATAATAGGCAAGTTCATAATTCATACATTTTGGCCTTTATTTTATTTACTGTTCTTTGTACAATAACTAATTAGTTCAAGAAAAAATGCCAGTGTCATTTAAGTTGCTCTTATTCACATTGTATTTTTTCTCCAGATTGAGGTCTTCAGTTTCAATAAATGTTTTATCAATTTTCCTCAGACAGGTATTTGAGGCCTAATATGCAAGCCATTCATTTACCCATCTCTTATAAATGTAACAGTCCAGTTTTTAGTCCAACGTTATAAGGGAAAAAACTTGTATTCCATTTCACTTACTCCATCCAAAGAAGGGTGGGAGGCTCCAAGCCAAAGAGTACAGCCAGACGCCTACCAGGATTATAAGGGCCTTCTTCTTAGACATCACTCGAACAGAAGCCAGAGGTTTTGTGATGACAAAGTATCTGTCCAAGGCAATCACCATCAAAGTGATCATAGATGTAATGCCAAAAAGAGCTCCGCAGAAGGCATACAGCTCACAGCCTTTCAATGAAGATGACAGAAGTAGCAGTGAAATTAATCTACTCGTGCTGATTAATTTATGGGAGGTTCAAGTCTGTGTTTCCTGTAAACTAATGTCTTCTGGGATTCATAAGCCAATGGAATTTCAGTTTTCTAGCGGTTGTAATGCTATTTCAAAGCTACTGTTTATCTTGCTAATTATATTTTCACTCACTGATTTATGATGTTCCTAGTAAAAATTTTTTAATGGCCCCATGATATCTTGCTTAACTCCAGTTTTACTGAAGGTCCCATAGAAACATCTATTTTGTTCAACGATGCCCTCTAGCTACTTTGATATCATGGTATCATTTGTATCTCAAGGTCAGCATAATTGTAGTAAATATTCAGACAATGAATATATTCATAAGTAATTTTAACAATTCAAGCATCATGATCAAAAGCTGGGAGTCGTGTTTTTCTATTTCTTAACGTGTGTGCAATTGAAGCAGAAAAAACAGGCATTCTTTTGGTCATCGGAGATCAAAACAGCCATGTTACTTCTGTCAATACTTATTCAAGGAGCAAAGACTAGTCATATTCTTACTATAGTTATAAAAAGAAAGAAAGCAATTTCCTTCTACAGGCTTTTTTTATACGTTATTGATTGTGAACTCCTTGGGAGTGGGTTTTCTCCTTAGATTTGCACACCCCTTATGCCAAAGGTGAAAATTCCACTGTTGAAGCCTGCAGCGGATGTGCTGTTGACTTCAGTCACGTATGTTTCACTTGCAGTTTGAGAATCTTTTGAAGGAATACTGCCTTCTACCTGCTGGAGCAGAGGTTTTGTTTTAGGTTCCTTTCTTGGATATTGACTATTTAGATTGTAAAATGATTTGGACAGAAATTGGGGTTCATTTTTTCCTAAGTATTGCTGCAATTTTATAGCACACTGAAGTTAATTACTCTTGTAGTTCCAACGACCAGATGTCTTCTGCAAATCATATGTTAACACGAACTCCCACAAGAACATTTGCTTACTGCACGGGCATGTTCAGTTAATATTTCTGTTGAGAAAACTCACTGTTGCCAAGCTTTCTGGTTGCTAGTCTCTGAGCAGATTATCTAGAGCTGCTGTTGATGATTTGCAAGTTGATGGTTCTTTGTCACAGGGCTCTACCAGTGGTTACATTACAAGATGACTGGGAAGGAACACTGGCAAGGAGAATGGTCCTCTGTCTTTGATTGCCAGTGTCTTCTTTGTATCTTGTGTGTGTAATTTTCCTCTTTGTGTTGGGAATGTAATTGTTGCACAGGGACAAAAATGTTCAGGGAAACTTTGGTTTTAATATCAAAGCAATGTTGAAAATTGCAAGTGTACCTGAGGATTAGGAAATGGGAAGTTAACTGCCACTACAGCAAAATAATACTTAGTGATTTATTGGAAAGTAGATATACAAACCTTTCTCACCAAAAATCCAACGTTTATGGAGACTGTTGGTGAAAAATACCGGAGACTGTGTGATGGACATAAGGAAGTCACTAACAGCTAGGTTGATGATGAATATATTGGCTGGTTTCTGAAGGGTCCTACTCCTACAAAGAAAAGATAGAAGGAATGTTGCTTAAACAATGCAGTGCTCTTAATTATGTCGTTACTCTTTTTTGTGAGTTTTGGCAGCTTCACAAACACCATGGCACTCCACAGAACAAGTTAGGACAGTGTGCTTCTCATTTCTCTCCTGAGAGAACATTAGGCTGTTTTACATCCCTATCCTGCTGTGTATTTTAGAGGACTGTTTTGATAACTGGCTCAGCGGTGGGGATAAATCACATTGTTCCTTAAGTACTCTGACCCAGTGCACTGCATGTCCGTGATTAACAGGAAATTAAAGCTGATGTGCTCTATGGATTTGCTGGATCTGGGTCGTGTTAAGCTGGAGGAGGGGTAGTGCATATCTCCATGCTGGTGATCTTATCAGCAATAACTTACAAATACAGGGATTAAGCAAACTTGCTGTGTACCACCACATCAAGCATTTTGTTTCACATCAGGTCTTCTCTGTGACGCTCATTTAACTTGTACATACATCGACTTTGTAGAGAATGGTAGCCAGCCTTTAGTGTATTCTGCTTACATATGTTATTCATAACATCATAGTACAATGCTTTAAAGGTGCACAGAGAAGCTGAATTGAGAGCTCCTTTGTTCATGGCTTAGTGTAATTTTTTAGCTCCTTTCTCAAAATGTTGGTCTTAGACAAAAATATAAAGTATCTGAATAAATGATCAATTCTTTGTACTGATGCAGAATCAGTGAGTAGATGTACTGTCCCCAAACTGTCAATTTGGGAGCAACAAGAGATTTTTAATAGATACTTAGGGGCTACTTGTTTTTGTCCAGTAATCTTGTTTGTTGCTGAACAAATCTCTATTTCAGATACCTGTCTGTCTTAGACTTTTGTGACTTTTTGAGACAGTTTTGTAGGCATCTGACGTGTACTCTGAACTTCTGATGTACTTGTTATTTTTCTTTCAATGTCCCTTTTTATTTTCATAACATCTTCAAATAAAGAACAGGCTGTCACTGGAAATGCAACTGGCTGGATTTGCTGTATGGGACTAGCCAAAGTGCTAAGCTAGGTCACTTACTTCACTCTTGTCTCATGTAGCTGGTTTTCATGCCAACACCTGATCTGTTCTTAAGGCCGTGTCATTCACACTGAAATGTTGGTATCTGCTCTGAATGCACACACTGTGTACGTATTTTCTGTATGTAGCAGAAAATGTGAGATCACCTTTTTAACCTTCTAGATAAATGCACTAGATTAATACAAGCCTCAAGAGCCTCATTAGTTAGGTTCTCACTCCTGTGACTCGAGTTAACCCAGTCAAGTTGTCACGTAGTTTTTATTTTTTATGTTTATTAGAGTAATGCATAATGATCACTCACGAGGGAGAGGCTCGCTGGTCTAGACATCATGGCAATGTTCTGTCAGTGCTCAGTGAAAAGACAAACAATGTGAATTTAAAAAAAAAAAAAAGTAAAAAAATTACATTGTTTTCACAGGTCAGATTACTTTCAGATATAAAAGTTGGGATGTGGCTTTTGTTAGGAAATAAGCTGAGTATTAGAAAATGTGGAAATGAAAGTCATTTCCAGTAGGGAACAGGGGAGCAGAGGAACTACACAGGAGATAGTAGGAGAAAAGAAGCACCTAAATTACAGGTGATAAATGAGAGAGAAGCAAAACATCACATCATTCCAGTGCAGAAGCTCAACCGATAACAAAAATATTTCTGTAAGTTTTCTGCTATAGCTGTGTTTCCATTGCTTGGCATATCTGGGTGAATCTTTTACAACGTTGCTAATGGACCACGGTTAATGATAAGTCAGAAAAGTCAGGTTTCCACTTTGTGTCATAAAGCAATATCTCTTATATGCATTTAATATCTCTAATATGCATTTAGAGTGATAGTATGTCTGCACTGCATACAGAGTGCAGTCATGATGCTGTTAGAGTTCATCTCGGTATTTAAAAAAAAAAAAATACAAAAAAAGATACCTGCAGAAAGCATAGATGACCAGGAAATTACCCAGAGTTCCTGTGATTCCCACGATAAGAATGACTGTTCCAATTGTATAGTGGGCATGGTCTGGGACATCCACTGTAGGAAAAGCACCACGAACATCTTTCACTGCCATCTTCTACAGAGCAAACGAGAAGTCACAGGTAGATTGTCAGACTTTGGTGAATAAGCTGGTGTGTGCTACCCTAGTAGAGGACTTGATGAAGAGTGTGAAATGCCAGCAAGCAAAAAGAATCAGAATAAGCTAATTACTTTCAAATTACATTACAGCTGATCATCTTTGGGAGCCACATATACACCATCAGGAGCACACAGGTCAAACAGTAGTCTGTGCTTTTACTGTGGATTGAGAATTTTAATGAAGAAGAGCAATTTATTCCCTCCCAAAAGAAAATGAAAGATATAGAAGAGAACTAGAGATATGAAAGGACCTTTTTTATTTCATCTGACATCAATAATGCAGTACCTAACAAGAATATTTTCTGCAGTTTTTGGTTCATTAAAGTTTCTGTACCCATGAAGTGTGATTTCTGTTCTGACAACAGTATCTTCTCTGCATAGGAGTGATGGATAACTGTCTATTGAGAAACATGCATTTAACCCTTTATTGGGATTAAATATGGCTAATATGGGTTTTTCATTTCTCCCACTGAATAACCAACACATCGCTAGCTGCCCTCGAGGCTTAGTTACTAAAAACCTGTCAGCAGGTAAAAGACTGAGCAGCAGTCTGGTGGAAACTAAATTAAAGATTGGAAAACTTTAAACAGGAAAACTTTCTAGTTTGCACCTTGTTTACATATCAGTCTTATTTTCACTCTGGACTGAGCGAAGGTATTTTGCTTTTTGCGATAATTGTCGTTTAAGCACTTGAAAGCATGTGGATCTTATCTACTAATAACTTGTGGCAAAATTCACTAGGTAAGTCTGGAGACTTTAGCACTTCTAATAGTAATTAGAACATTTTCTTAGTAAGTTTCAGGAGCTACCAACACTCTTTAGACCAAATGACCCCATCTTAGCAATGAGGCAAACAAGAAGTCTGCAGCCAGGAAGCAGGATCACCTAACAAAAATGGTAGAGGACATGCAAATTGTCACTGTTCTGCTGCCTTTTCTTGTGAAGTCAGGCAAGGAGATTTAAACACACACCTCTGTGCAGCTGCCCCTGTCCTAACCATGCTTTGGCACCAGCTCCAATCAGTTAATGTAGCCGTGACAAACACAAAGCCCTCGTTCATCTGCACAGATAGATCCTGTCTCTTCTTCATTGCCGGGTATTTCTCATCATGGGTGGCACTCACTCTGGAATGGCATGCCATGGCCACCACTCCTAATTGAAGTCTGTCAGCTGCAGCCATGGCATTCCTCAGCTACTGAGCTACAGGAATCACACCATGTCAAGAAAGCCCAGCAGATATCTTGAATAGCTTATGTTTTTCCTACTGTGAATATCGCCAGTCTGGCTGTGGCCTAGGATCCAGGGCAAGGGATCAAAGTCTGTGCCTGTACTGAGCATAAATAATGCTATGAGGCTAGGTGTGTTGTCTCCCAGAACAAGTAATGGGAGGCGGTGTTACAGCTAACGTTTTCAGTTATTCCTTCCCAGGAAGAGGAAGATTGCTGGCAGGAAAGTGGAAAGCAGTGGATGTATGTATGAAATTCTTTCTTTATGCTCCAATTATGTCAACTGCTGGCACTCACTGCTAGAATGAACTCAGGAATGCCTTCAACAACACCCCAGTTATCAAAGGACCTTGGCGTTTCCAGACAATAAAGGCAGACATTACTTATAAATAGATCTCTGAGATTGGATTGAAATTATAAGAGACAGTTTGCATTTAAAACCAATGTGCCGGTAGCAAGAGCTAAACCCCAGGAGAGTCTGAAATTGTACAAAAGATTGTCTTTGACTGTGAGCTGGAGATCTGCCCATGGCAGTCCTCAACAAGAGGAATGCGCTCCCTGAGTTTCTTTATTAGCAGGGATGGAATGCTGGACAAATAGTCTCATCGGAGAGACTGAAAATGTAGCTCTGGCTGTTATTGCAATTGGAGCAAAATGTTATGATTGCATTAAGGCTGATATACTAACTGAAAGACAGAATCATGATGTTTCTTTGTTCAGGTTCCTTCAGCAAGCGTAAGTTGGCCTCACATCATAAAAATCAGTGGGCATCTTGCCCATGTAGAGATTGCTTTACTTAACACGCTGTCAATTAGGTAACACAAAATCCCGTACTAATAGCAAGTGGAGTGGGAGAGTCTGAGATAAAACTCTTTTAATTTAATTAGACCAGGTGTTCTTTGGTTTGGGTTATTTATTCTTTATTTCTGTAGCTTTATGGATGCTGCTCTGCAGAGAGCGAATCATGGTCACTAATGTAATGGAGATTTCTGATATTTTCCTCTATAGCTATCCATTTAATCAAGGTAACAGAGATGAAGCAACTAAAGGAGCTTGTTTTGGCTACAAAAAGCAGATTTAAAATGGCTTTAATTTAAATTAAATTTGTGGGGAACTAAGGACAAGAAACAATTTGAAGGATAGATATGGATGGAGAAAGAACAATAGTAAAAAAGGTTATTTAGGGGACATTAGAAGACACCAAAACTACTTATTCAGGAATGAAACAGGTTTAGAGACGGTAAAGATGTCAAATGTGGAAAAAAAAAAAAAAAAAAGTGTAATATTTGTAATTGAGCATTGGTAGGACATAACGTCAAATAGACAGAGAAAGAAAGGGATTGGCAAAGAAGAATAAATTCACATCTTAGTGTGGATTTCTGGGAAATGGGTTCCAGTTCTTGCTGTTCTCTAAGAAAAAACTCCATTATTAAAAAAAAAAAAAAAAAAAAGTAATTTAACTCTTTTTTATTGGAAAGACAGGTCTGATTCAAAGCTTCTTGAAGTCAAAGAAAGGTGCTAGTTGACCCCAAAGGCATTAGATCAGACCTAAGCACTTCAAATTCATCACTGAGTTGTGCACATCACCTTCCTTATTAGAAGATGAAAACACTTGCCTGTCACAATCATCTCTAGGTCTTACAAGGGGAAAAAGGTAATGCTTGAGGAAATCAGGACAGCAGCCTAACAAGAAATCAGACAATTCTCAAAGCTTTTCTCTGTTTAGCCTTATTTAGTCTGTCTTCTGTTGTCACCCCATGGTATTAATACTTGGGTAGCACAAGAGAACTAAAATCACACCTTTACAATTCCTGCCATGACAACTGTCCTTTCAGAATGCTCCGTCTGAACAACTCTTTCAATTGCATTGGTATCCCAGAACATGATTATCTTGCCTGTTCTTCTGTTCATCCCGCTTTCTATATGCACTTACATAGTGAAAACGCTAAGTCACGACTTGAAACAGTGATTGAATACCTGGTGAGAAGGCAGAGCCAACCCAGGGGAGCTCAGGTCCATGCAATACACCTGAGTGACCAGAAGAGATAAAGTCAGGATCCACTCCTTCCCACACCTCATTTAAGGGTTGGCAGTGGAGGTGAGGGTGTCCTGATGGAGATCCCTGTGTGCCTGTGGGCTTCTGAAGGTAAACGTTTTTTCTTCCCTTATTTCTGTATCTGTGGCTGCTGAATTTGCATTTGTTCTCGTTTGCTGTAGCCTAGGATTGTGCTGCTCTGCTATTATTGCTGAACTTTCCATCACATTACAGCGTTTCAGCATTACAACACTGTAATGAAGATGAAAAGAAATGAACAGGCAGAACCAGTACTACATTATTTCTCTTCTAAGTGATATGAAAACACAGCTTCTTTTGTGTAACATGGTTCAAAACAGCACGAAACAAACAAAGAAGCAGAACTGGGAAGAAATTGGACGTTTTACCTTAGTCAGTTTTCTTGAGTTAACAAATAAAGATACTTGTATCTGAGGCTCTGGACCACTGGGTGCCAGTATACCCATAGGCATATTGTGTTGTGGGTGGCTTGGATTGGTATTAATTCTGTAGAAAACAATTTACTGGGAAGCACCAACTTCCTGACAGTCAGCGTAAATATTGCACACTTCTTAAGCAAGCAAACAAAATGGTTGCTTGAGGAACTGTGGAAGATGTAGAGGGAGTAACTGAAATGTTACGTAGTATCTTCACAGTAAGCAGGGTCAGTTTGAGAACATATCTTAGTGCCAAGGATAGCATTTTAAGTCTTCCTTAAAAGCAGGTTTTATAATTTGTTTATATATGATGAAACCTGGCCTTTTGAAAGAGCTGTAAAATAATTCATCTCTGATAGGCAAGCCATTTATTATTTATTTGCACTATAGTTTTGAAGAATCAGTCTGTCTTGAGAGTATTGGCCAAATGTTTCTTGGGCTCCATCAATCTTGGTGCTATGACTGCTGTCCTGGGAGGTCTGAATGCATAATGAACAGCGATATGAGAATTCCTGTCCCACTCTTAGCAGTTGGTTTGTGTTCTAAAACAGAGTTGTTATCCCTTTGAAAAGATAATCTTAATGGAGGATATTTTTATCCCTCATATATAGGTATAATCCTTTCCTAAATCCTACTCTGCCATTTGCCTTAAGAGTCAGTGGCAGCAAGTTATGAAGGTTGCTGCACATCAGTGTATTTTCTTCCATCATGTTTAAGTGTGTCCTTGTGGAAGCAGTAGAAGAAGGGGGAAACAACTACGTTTAATGCAGTCCTCTTTCTGGAAATGTTTTATGTTCTCCCTAAAAGAAAGCTTGTATATTGCCTATAACAAAATGGCTAATGCAGAACTGGCCATATTGTCAGCTAGCATTCAGTAAACTTGAGCCTTAACGTGGCAGTTTGTGTAGTGTGTCAGAACCATACAAGATGCTGGTCTAAAAAGAGTTGTAAGGAAATGAGCAATTTTGCTTTCCAGGGCAAAACTACTGATTCTTTAAGTGTTTTGCCCCTGTTAAAAGGAAATCCAGACCAAAAATATTTGATGCCTTCATTTGCTTTATCTTGGAAATGCATGTATGTATGGGAACTGCTGAGTCACAGCCTGAACCTCTGATTAATCACCTGAGGCGAGCAATGAGTCAGCCCTGGGAGCACAGGTGAAAGCAATTCACCTGTGCTGCAGGAAGGGGTGGAGCCTGGCTCCACCTCTCCTAGACCCATTTAAGAGCTGACTACCAGTAGGGAAGGATCTTCCTCTCTTTGGAAGATCCACTCCACTGGAGTTTCCTGAGTGAGCCCACGACACGGGTAGGCATCCTATTTATTATCTTTGTCTCGCTGTGCCTAACTCTCTTGCTTATTTCATTATTATAACATCTTAATATTATTTGATTATATAATATTCCTTTATATAATTTTCATTGATTATACAATGTATTATATGCTTTTTCCTAAAGAGAAGGTTTTCTAAGTAGCTATTTCAAAGTTGTTAAACAAACAAAACAATACCAGCTCACTTTTGAGTAAGTTTCATTTGAAGACATACAGTTTTTTTATGTCCTAGTGTTCTCCCTGCTTCCATGACTTGAGAAAAATATTTTTGTGTAAGTGAAAAAAATGACAACTTGCACAGAATACACTGTACTACTGAGGGAAAGAAAGAAAGAATAA